TGCCTGGGGAATTCCATGGACAGAGGAGCCTGGTGGGCTGTAGTCCATGGGGTTGCAAAAGTCAGACGTGACTGAATGACTAACCCTTTCACTTTCAGTATATTTGCTTAATATTTGCATGTCTTCTTTTCCAAGTTGTCTTCTATTATTTTTAAAAATTTAAATACAGATAATTATTTTTTAGTCTATTAATAATGTTGTGATAGTTTCAGGTGGACAGCAAAGGGATTCAGCCATACAAGTACACATATCCATTCTCCATTTCTCCCCAAACTCCCCTCCCATCCAGGCTGCCACATAGCATTGAGCAGAGTTCCTTGTGCTATACAGTAGGTTCTTGTTGGTTATCCATTTTAAATATAGCACTGTGTACGTTCCCATCCTAAACTCTCTATCCCTTCTTCCCATCTCCCCCCTACCCTGGCACCCATACGTTGGTTTTCTAAGTCTGTGAGTCTCTTTCTGTTTTGTAAACAAACTCATTTGTATCATGTTTTTTTAGATTCTCATATGAGATATATCATGCAGTGTTTCTCCTTTTGTTTGGTTTTCGTCGCCCAGTATGACAGTCTCTACGTCCATCCATGTTGCTGCAGATGTCATTATTTCATACTTTTATTTGGCTGAGTAATATTGCATTGTATATATTCCCCACTTCTTTATCCATTTCTCTGTTGATAGACATTTGCATTGCTTCCATATCTTGACTGTTGTAAACAGTGCTGTGATGAACATTGGGGTGCATGTATGCTTTTGGAAACCATATTTTTCTCTGAATATATGCCCAGGAGTGGAATTACAGTGTCATATGGTTGCTCTATTTTTAGTCTTTTAAGGACCCTCCAGATTGTTCTACATAGTGGCTGTCCCAATTTACATTCCCACTAAGAGTGTGGGAGCGTTCCCTTCTCTCCACATCCTCTCTAGCATTTGTTGCTTTTGGATTTTTTGTTGACAGCCATTTTGACTGGTGTGACATGATATCTCATTGTAGTTTTGATTTGAATTTCTTTAACAATTAGCAGTGTTGAACATCTTTTCATGTGCTTCCTGGCCATCCATATGCCTTCTTTGGAGAAATGTCTATTTAGGTCTTCTGCCCATTTTTTAATTTGGGTTGTTGATGTAAATGATGTAGAGCTTCATGAATTGTTAGTGAATTTTGTGACCTTGTCAGTCACCTTATTTGCAAATATTTTCTCCCAGTCTGTGGGTTTTCTTTTTGTTTATTGTTTCCTCTGCTTTGCAAAAGCTTTTGGGTTAAAGTAGGTCCCATTTGTATATTTTTGTTTTTATGTCCATTATTCTGGGAGATGGATTGCAAAAGATATTGCTGTGATTTATATCAGAAAATGTTTTTCTCTAGGAGTTTTATAGTGTCTGGTCTCATATTTAGATCTTCAGTCCATTTTAAGCTTATTTTTGTGTATGGTGTTAAAGAAGGATCTAATTTCATTGTTTAAGATGTAAACTGTTCAGTTTTCCCAGCACCATTTGTTGAAGAGACTGTCTTTCCAGCATTGTCTAGTCTTGCCTCCTTTGTCATAGGTTGGTTGACCGTAGGTGCATGGTTTTATTTCTGGACTTTCTATTTTATTCCATTGATTTGTATTTTTATTTTTGTGAGTTTCATACTGTTTTGATGACTATAGCTTTGTAATATAGTCTGAAGCCAGGGAGCCTGATTCCTCCAGCTCTGTTTTTCTTTCTCAAGATTGCTTTGGCTATTTGGGGTCTTTGCATCTCCATACAAATTTTAAGATTTTTTTGTTCTAGTTCTGTGAAAAATGCCATTGGTAATTTGATAGGAATTGCATTGAGTCTGTAGATTGCCTTGGGTAGTATTGTCCTTTTGGCAGTTTTGATTCTTCCAGTCCAAGACCATCTTTCCATATACTTGTGTCGTCTTCGGCTTCTTTCATCGGTCTTATAATTTTCAGAGTACAGGTCTTTTGTCTCTTTAGGTAGGCTTATTCCTAGATATTTTATTGTTTTTGATGTGATGGTAAATGGAATTGTTTCTTGAATTTTTCTTTCTGATCTTTCATTGTTAGTGTATAGAAATGCAGCAGATTTATGTGTGTTAATTTTGTAACCTGCAGTGTTACCAAATTGATTGATGAGCTCTAGTAGTTTTATGGTAGCATCTTATAGGATCTTCTATGTATAGTATCATATCATTTGCAAACAGTGAGACTTTGACTTCCAATTTGGATTCACTGTATTTCTTTTTCTTCTCTGATTACTGTAGCTAGGACTTCCAAAACTATGTTGAATAAAAGTGGCAAGAGAGAACATCTATGTCTTGTTCCTGATCTTAGAGGAACTGCTTTCAGCTTCTCACCATTAAGAATGATGTTAGCTATAGGTTGGATATATATGGCCTTTATTATGTTGAGGTATGTTCCCTTTATGCCCACTTTCTGGAGAGTTTTTTTTTAATTTGTCATAATTGGGTGCTGAATTTTGTCAAAAGCTTTCTCTGAGTCTATTGAAATAAGTATGTTTCTTATTCATTTTATGGTTCATGTTCTTCAATTCGTTACTGTGGTGTATCACATGGATTTGCAGATATTGAGAAATCCTTTCTTCCGTGGGATAAACTCCATTTGATCGTGGTGTATGTTTCTTTTAATGTATTGTTGGATTCAGATTGCTAGTATTGAGAATTTTTGCATCTATGTTCATCAGTGGTATTGGCCAGTAATTTTCTTTTTCTTTTGTGATATCTTTGTCTGTTTCTGGTATCAGGGTGATGATGGTGACCTCATAGAATGAGTTGGAGAGTATTCCTTTCTCTGCAATTTTTTTGTCTAATATTTTAAAATTATTTCTTGTTTAGGATGTAGTTATTTTATTTATATTTTGGCTGCACTGGATCTTTGTTGCTGTGTGTGGGCTTTCTCTAGTTGTGGAGATCTTCTTATGAGTGAGATTAAACATTTTTTTTACTTTTTGAGTTAACTTCATTTGTAACTTTTTCTCAGGAAGTATTTCTTGGTTATTACTGCTGCTACAATCCCAGATACTTATTCTAGATTTTTTCCCCTAGAGCTGGTGATAATCACTCACGAAAACAGTGTTACTTTGCATGTATGATTAAATTTAAAAAGACCTATTTACTGATTTCTTGTATTTAAAGATGTAACAATCTAATGTGGGGAAAAAAGACTTGCATGAAGCTCATCATGGTTCAGTGAAATAAATGCTAATGGAGGTAAATACCAAGTTCTGTGGGAACATTGAGATTGGGATGGAGTGACTGGGTTATCAGGCAGGTATCAGGAAGATTACTGGTTAGCATATGAGGTAGTCTTCGGGTTGAGTCTTTAAGGAAGAGGAGGAGATTGCCAGGCTGACTCTGCCTGGAAGAGTATTACTGCCTGAGGAAGCAATGCCGAGGAAGCACATGGTATCTGAGGACTCAGGTCTCCTGGTTTTGTGGTGGATGGTGGTGGGCTGGGCGTCATGTCTGCAGCTGGACCATCCAGATTTGCTCGGTCTCCACTTTTTGACCCTGAACCCACTTCCAAATTTTATGCACAACAATGTCAACTTGATCAAAAATTTTATCAAAATATTCATGTTTCTTTTTTTTCTTAATTTTCCCCCCAAAGCATGCATCCACTCTTGATGATCTTTCTAGTCATTTTTTAATAAACTTGGGAGGGAAACCCTGAGAAGTAGAGTGATTTCATTCCCACCTTCCCATTTTATTGTGGAGCAAACTTAAAGCCTTTATTTTTCGTCTGTGCTGTACTTTTAATTTATCTTTACCACTTGCTTATTGCCAAGTGTGAGGCTTTTTATGTAGTAGCTTGTTTTGTTTGGCTAAGGGAGAAGTATTGGTGAGGTGAGGATGGTTATTAGAGTTGAGAAAGCTGGAAGGTAGGCAGGGGCTAGTTCAGACAGTCAGAAGCCTTGTGTCTCATTTTGAGGAAGCTGTATTTTATAGTTGAGAGTTTCTAAAAATCTGAAATGGATAAAGGGGCAGAGGGGAGGGATTGGATGAGGGGAATGAGAAGATCAGCTTTATATTTTTGGCTTTGTTGAGGAAGACGGACTAGAGAAGGGACAGTGTGGACAAGGGAGCAGTGGTCCCCAGCAGCAGCATCACCTGGGAATTTGTTAGAACTGCAGATTCTCAGGTCCCACCCCAGACCTGTTGAATCAGAAATTCCGGGAGTAGGGTGCAGCAGTGTGTGTTTTATTTGATTCTGATGAATGTGAAAGTTTGTGACTAATGTGATGTAAAGGCTGATGAGGCTGTACATTATGGTTTGCATATCCCTTTCATACTAGTTATGTAGTTGATTTTGTTGAGATGTTCATTATATTAATATCTTACATTTCACAAGAGAAATAGAACAACTAGGATTTTGTGATTCAGTTACTTATATGAAAGCCTAATATTAAGATGTGAAAAGCTGGGATAATGTGGTGATAATACTTGGAAAAGGGAGACAGTCTAGGATCATGTGGAACGGTATAAACTACAGTCATAGAGAAACACTTTGTAGAATAAAACAAGTAAGAGAGGCTTGATCTTGAATACTCTAGGTGTTGCCTGTATGTGACACTGATGTGTACTGTGGTACTTAAATATGCAGTAGGGAAAACTGAAGATACTATTTTCAAGAAAAGGGGGACATGAACTCTTTGTGGAGCCCAAAGGAAAGGATGGATTGACTCAAGATTTGCTAAGATGCAGTTGGTTCCACACAACTGTTAAGAGGTGGTCATTTTCATTCTTTAAATAATAGCTAGCAGCTGATTTGCATCTAACCTAGTTTTCATTTCTTTTTCTTTGAGGGTGTGAGGGCTGTGGGTTTAAATTTCAACTATGTGGAAATGGGACTGAGTAAATCTGATAATTTTCTTTTTTTTCCTCTGTTAATTTAGCTGGGTGACCAAACGTACAGATAAAGCAAATGCTTTGTAAATATAAATATATCTTAAAGGATAAGTAACCTTTTTTTCTCCTTTGAATTTTATTCCAGGACCCATCAGTTACACAAGTGACAAGAAATGTCCCACCAGGACTTGATGAATACAATCCATTCTCAGATTCTAGAACAGTAAGATTATTCTTAATTGGACTACTTTTAAATATTAAAATGGAAATTAAGTGGGATTTATATCTCAGTTATGTTTTCTTTTAAGTTGATTATTAAAGTTATATAAAACAAGCTGTTAGTGTTTTATTTAGAATTTAGCAAGTTCTTTTTTACAAAAAAGGACTATTCCAAGTAATTGAAAATACCGTAATGGTTCTACAAATTGCTAATATCCCCTCTAATATGTTAATATTACTACAGCTTTTTAAACGGGGGATTTTTTGCTATACATGTTGTTTTCATGGTGATACAGGGTGATGTTTTCTTACAAAGAGATGTTTGTACAGAACTGTACCATTAATATTTGTATGATTGTCATCTGAATTAGGTGATTCTGAATAAGACTAGCCTTCTCCTCTGGTAGACTAGAATCTCTGGAACTTTAACTGGCCTAGAAACATAATCTCAAAATGTAGTCTTGGTTTATAAAATGAAGGAGTATGGAAAAAACCCTTTGGACAGGGTTCTCTACTCTTGAATGCGTGTTAGAAGCAGCTGGGCAACTTCATTACAGTGTCTGAAAGAAAGAAAGAAAGAAAGGAAGAAAAAAGTGCTCAGTTGTATCCGACTCTTTGCAACTCCATGGACTGTAGCCCACCAGGCTCCTCAGTTCATGGAATTTTCCGGGCAAGAGTACTGGAGTGGGTTGCCATTTCCTTCTCCATATTACAGTGTCTGTTAGGGCCCTAATCCCTCATAAGGCAGTTTTTTGTTTTTCTTTTCATCCTTTAAATAATTTTATTGTGAGCCAGTTTTGAGGACTACTGAAGATAGGTTGAGAATTCTGTCTCAAAAATTCTCTGGCAAATAATTTTTGTCTCCTGTATTTAAGCCTTTAGCTTAAATATCATACTCATGAAGCACTTAGTTTTAAACGTTGTTAGCTCCTGAAATTTTAGTCATCCTGTTAAAAATATTGAAATTCTTCAGTTCCGTGCTTGCATTTACATGTCAGCATAAGGATCCTTACTTGATCATCTCTTCCTGAAGATCATATTTTTCATAATCTAGAAAATAATTCTGGAAGATCATATAGGGTTTTGCTTGGAAATATCTTCATGGTGTATTAATTTTTTAGTTTGAAGAAGAACTTTGTGCAAGATAAAAGCCCTAAAATAAGGGTGAATTTTTAAATTTCACTTTATTTCAAAGTCCTCATTTATTTTAACAGCCTCTGTTTTTGTGTAGCAACTGCAACCCAGGCTGAGATCACTAAGTTTTCACTGAGCATGTCAGTTTCACATTGACCCCTGTGAAATGACCAGTAAGTTGACCAGTGTTGACATGTAAAGATAGCAGTGTCATATGGCACAACCTTATAGAAAACTGTTTAAAAGTACGAGATTGTAACTTGGTAGGAGTTGAAAGGAAGAAAAAGAGCCTGGTATATTTTATTCTACTATATGTAATTCTTCTAACATGATTTCTGGAGGGTAGAGATTTGAATAACTGTTAAAATTTGCTGGTGATGAGTAGAGAGAGATTTTTATATAATTTTTGGGAAGATTTTACTAGCAAAAAATATGTGTAACCTTTTTACAGTCGCAGTTTTAGATTATTCTTTGTGGTAATGTTAATAGTAGTGTTCTTCAACAAGTTGTCTACTTTGTACCATGTGCTTTTACCTATATTATCGAATTCTTATGACAACATTGAAGATGGATATTTTCTGTTTCCTTTCACTGATAAAGAAACTGAAACACAAGTCATCTAGCTAGTAAGTGGTAGAACTGGTTTACATAATCATCATTTTTTTTTTGGTAAAGCTTTTGCCTTTTCCATTTTGCTAGTGCTGTCTTTAGAGACATCTGCCTAAGAAATAGCAGGTATAGTCTTGGTCATGGAAATTTTCTCACCTAATTGGGATTTTAAAAAATTACACAAAGAAGATACATCCAGGAAAAAAAAAATGTAAACTATAGTTTAAAATGTTTGAGACTTTACAGTCAAGGAAAGATTTTTTTAAAGACTAGCTAGGCAATAATGAACAGCTAGCTTACAATGAAACTTCTCTTAGATTTGATGAGCAATGATACAGTGTCAGAACCAGGAAAATTACTGAGGTAAGAGCACTGATGCATTTTGCATTGAACTTTTTACATTGTGGAAAACATGGGTGAAATAATTTAAAATTTCAGAATTCTTTTGTTTCATAATGTATGATTTTAGAAATTTGTTTCCCTTCCTTTTCTGCAGCTGTGATTATTTTCTAAGACAGAGCAGGTGTACTTGGATAATTGATTTAAGTGATATCTTAGAACTCCAAATACTATTTTAGTGGATTGTTGTTATCCATATTTGTCATAGAAAAATATTTTGAAAGTGAAGCAATCTTCTAGATTGTTGCATAAGGGTGTGGTGAACTACTTGAGGTCAAATAGGAAGATTCTTTAGCAGAATAGTATATAGTTTTGTTAAGACTTTAGAAAGTTCCTGTCTTTCCTATTTTTCCTTTTAGATTTCCTTTTATATTTAGTTTTCTGTTTGAATGGAAACTGTAAGGAAAGTAACAAATATTTAAATAATTTTAATAATTTGTATATTAATTCATGCTATACTATAAATTCAGAGAAAGGAGTCCTCATAAAATACCATGTAGTTTTTAGTCTGAGGGTTAGCAGTATACTGTAAATGTGGTAGTCTGAATTGAGATGTACTATGAAGTGGAGGGTAGTCTTTGGTTATGAAATAATTTTTTTTGTTTGAACTCAAAATGCAGTTTACTTCGGGTATTATGTTGAGCATAATGGGTAGGTTCCCTGGCTTACCCTGTAAAACTTAGTGTATGAATTACTAGAAGAATTAGCTCATCCTTGAGAATTGTTACATATTTAGGGGGAATGTTTTCCTTTTAAATTAGGCAATAGTTTAAAATGCCTGTTGCAACTTGATTCTCAACTAGCTTCAGCCACTGGTGATGGCATTCATGGCTTCAGACAGGATTTTTTCTGGCAAGTGTTGACGCATAGGGGTATGGAGACAGCCCTATCTGTGTGTATGGAGGAAGTGTGGTACTGTTGATAAAATCCTTAGTGACGTTTCTCACGGCCTCGTTTATTGTCATACTGTTTTCCTTCAGGAATAGGCTGTTTGGTTTCTTTCCTGTTCTGCTAGTTGTTGGTATTTATGATTTCTGTCACATAAAGCAGCAAGATCTGCAGAAGAAACAAGAGAAGAAAATTCCAAGTACTGGCATGCTCAGGTGGTCATTTCTGACCATAGAGGACATAGCTAATTGATTTATGTAAGTAGGAACTGCCTCTGACTAAGTTAATTCAGGACATGGAGTAGACTGAGAATCATAAGACCTGGATTCTAATCTAGTCCCTGCCATTAATTAGTTGCTACCTTTATGAAGCCATCTAACCTCTTTGGGCATTTTTAAAATTTATTTTTAATTGAATGATAATTGCTTTACAGTGTTGTGTTCGTTTCTGCCACACATCTACATGGCTCGGCCATAGATATCCACGTGTCGCCTCCCGCCTGCCTCCCACCAGATCCCACCGCGCTCGCTTGTCACAGAGCACCAGGCTGAGCTCCCTGCTCTGTACACAACTTCCCTTTAGCTGTCTGTGCTTTTTTTTTTTTTTTTCCAAATGTGTAACAGTGGAACTAGAGAGGAAGATTTGCGTTAAACAATTTCTAATGTCAACTTTTTTTCCGATAATGGATTAAAATTTTAGCTCCAGGAACTGACTGGATAGTACATAGTAGTTTACCTATTTTTAATACTGCAAAAGCAATTTCTGTACTGTAAAAACTTTTAATTTTCTTTTGGCATACATTTCTATAACATTTTTTTCTTTCTCCTTTGCTTCTTGTCTTTCTTGGAGCTCATAATCTGTCCCTTCTGGAGCCTTCTTTGTTTCTAGTCTCATTTAATGGTAACTGTTGCCTTTTAGTGTCATTGGCTGGAAGCACCTGTGTCTTCTTTGTCTCAAGGAGCTTCTTATCCTACATCTAATCAGTAGCCATGTCCTGTCATTTATACCTCCGGGAGAGATTATGTGTCTGTCCTTTCATTGCTATTAAACTGCCCTAATTCAGGTACTCATGTGAGATGATACAGTGGCCTGCCTACTTACCTGTCTCTAGTCTCTCTTCTTCAGATCTTTTTTTTTGGCTGTGACTAGAATTATTTAAGGCTGAGTTCAGGTTAGGTCTTCACTCCTTAGAAATGTGTACATTGATTATGTATTGCCTGCGTAGTAGTATGCCATGTCGGGGCCTCCATTATATGACTTCAGACTATCTTTTTTTGGGCTTCCCTGGTAGCTCAGTCAGTGAAGACTCTACCTGTCACTGCGGGAGACCCAGGTTTGATCCCTGGGTTGGGAAGATCCCCTGGAGAATGGAATGGTTACCCACTCCCATATTCTTCCCTGGAGGATTACATGGACAGAGGAGCCTGGCAGGCTGCAGTTCATGGGGTTAAGAATAATGAATGCCAAGTACATTTTTTGCTTCCCTGGTAGCTCAGCTGGTAAAGAATCTGCTTGCAATGCAGGAGACCCTGGTTCAATTCCTAGGTTGGGAAGATCCCCTGGAGAAGGGACAGGCTACCAACTCCAGTATTCTCGGGCTTCCCTGGTGGCTCAGATGGTAAAGCATCTGCCTGCAACGCGGGAGACCTGGGTTCGATCCCTGGGTTGTGAAGAAGAGGAGGGCATGGCAACCCACTCCAGTATTCTTGCTTGGAGAATTCCCATGGACAGAGGAGCCTGGTGGTCTGCAGTCCATGGGATCTCAAAGAGTTGGAAACCACTGGAGTGACTAAGCACAGTATCTTAAAAAAAAAATTTTTTTTATTACTTTATTTTTTAGAGCAGTTTTAGGTTTATAGAAAAATTGAGCAGAAAGTAGAAAGTCTCATCAGACTTCTCCCCTTGACTCTCTTTTTAATCTTATCTTGTAATGTGTTGTTTGCTCCAGCTAAACTCATCTACTTTCTAACTCAC